CATTTATTTTTATCTTATTAAATTATTGTTAATTATCCATAATAATTAAAATAATATTTAATGTTATTCATATTCTTCTGTTAAATTATATATGAATGGTACATAATTATGTGATTTATATTTATAAATTTATTATTTTCACAAATAATATTACCACTTCTACAACTTTCAAAGAATCTCATCAATTCTACCATCAATCCCGTCCATCTGCTCTTAATTGAACCTTTCAGAGAGATTCTCTGAATTGCACCACTTATTGCAATTTTAAGAGAATCTCACTGATTCTTCCAATCGGTCAATCAGTGTTGCATGGAACAAATTATTGGAACTTTCAACAACTTATCACATGTTGCTAAAAGTCTTGGAACTTTAAGCAACTTATTACATGTTGCTGAAAGTCCTTCACGTGAAAGTTGAAATAAGTAAGTTAAAAATCTAATATGGTCCTTCAACTTTATTTTTTTAACCAAATATATCCTTAAAATTGAAAATGTATTAAAAAGTAACCTCAAACTTCATCATGTTAATTAGTTAATGTGTATCACTTGCCCCAAAAAATTTGTGGACTTCAACTATGTAAGTTTCCCCTTAACACTGAAAAATTTTTAAAATTTTATTAGTTCATGGAAAACACTGCCATATCGTCAGTTAACAAACGAAATGACTAAATTGGTATAAAAAAATAAAAAAAAATAAAGTTCAATGCTAGTTTGTTTATTCTTTAAAGTTGATGGATATATTTGGACAAAAAACAATAGTTCAGGGACACAATGAAATTAATTTTTGTTAATGTTTTTAGCAATATGCTCCATGTTGCTAAAAGTCCATTTCAATATACAAATCACATACCCGGCCAGTTTTACATTTCAATTTTCCTTCTCAAACCACACATCCATCTTACCTCCCATCTTCAGCTTTCATCTTCCTTTCTCAATTTATCATATTCTGCCCAGCATATTAAGGTAGTCAAGAAATATTTTACTTTGTCTCCTTCATATTTGAGTTGGTTTAATGTTAGTTTACTGTCTTCCTCTTGTTTCCTCACCTTTATCTATTTTATTTAACATATATAATTTAAACCCATTTTCTCCTCTAATTTCATAGTTTTACGTTTCGTAGTGACTGAAAACAAGTTTCATTTTGAGGTGAGAGTTTATCTTGCAACAACATCAAGTTCTCTACTAAACACAGTAAGTGTTCTTATACTTTATGCTTTTCTAGTTATATTCCAGCAATATACCTATATACATTATGACTATTTTTCCTTGTTTATTATCATGATTTTTTCCCCTATTTGCTTAATTATGATCTTTATATTATGTCATAAACTTTACTATTTTGCATGGGGCTATTTTACCAGTTTAACTTTAGTTCTTTT